ATGGGTAAATTTTGTTAATACTCCCATCATTCATGTCTTCCTTCTCAATACTCTTTGTATTTCTATGTATATTTCTGCATTTCTTTGCCCACTGATTGTGGCCTAAATTCTGTAATTTGCTTTGGAAAATGTAATGTGAACACTAGGGACAGGATGCCAGCTCTTTGACTTCTAATTCTAAGTGGAAGCATTAAGAGGCATTGTGAATTGCTGGCACAGAAGCTGGCCTTTCAGTCACATAAGAGGACAGCAGAGCAGAGCCCAACTTATTTAAAGCATCTGGCTGAACAACAACTGACCCAGGATTCTGTATAACATGAGTAAGAAATTAATTTTTTCTTGTTGCACTAAACTTTTGAGCTTATTTGTTATTATAGCAAGTTGACTAAAATAGATACTAGTATCTTAAGGTTAACTGCTCCTATTGCAAAAAGCTGAAAATCTGTTATATTGACCTTGGGTCCAAGAGACAGTTATAAATAGTTATTAAAGTATGAAGAAACAGTGACCCACAGTATGTAGAGGCAAAACATTTTAGCAAGCCATCACCTGCAACAACTTAGAAAGCAGATAACCTACCTAATGAATGAGTGGCTTCAGAGAAAGAGGTTTCAAAACAGAATGTTACTAGTGTGACATCGTTATTTTTTTCCCCAGAATTGTCACATAAACTCAGAAAAGAATTGGGCCAATTTATAACCCAATCATTAGGGAAGAAAGAGAAATGAGAGCAACTGGGAATTACAAGGATTTTAGAGCTGGAAAACAAAACTGTTTCATTGGAAGGACTGATGTTGAAGCCGAAACTCTAATACTTTGGCCACCTGATGTGAAGATTTGACTCATTTGAAAAGACCCTGATGCTGGGAAGAATTGAAGGTGGGAAGAGAAGGGGACGACAGAGGATGAGATGGTTGGATGGCATCATTGACTCAATGGACATGAGTTTGGGTAGGCTCTGGGAGTTGGTGATGGACAGGGAGGCCTGGTGTGTTGCAGTCCATGGGGTCACAAAGAGTTGGACAAGACAAAGCGACTGAACTGAACTGAACTGGAAAGAGAAATAGAAATGCTTTTGAGAAAAAAGGCACAATTAAGATTCAGATGAAAATACATGTCCAGACAAAGGGCATTGCCATTCATAACCTGTGTTGAAAACTGGCTGACTTAAGGTGACCCTTAGAAAATCATGTTCACTGGATAAAATGCCTTAGCAAAAAAGAGATATCCACACTCTCCTCGAAGCCTGGTAGCTCAAGTTATTTAGAAGTCTAGAGAGAACAGAGCATCTCAGAATAGGAGTGTGCTAGTTGCTGACTGAAATCAAATAATTTTTTAAAACCTACATTTTTTTAGAGTTTTGGTCAAAAGTTCCAAGAGACTTCTAAAACATTAAACAACTTTGGGGCCCCCAGTTTTCTAGAAGGAGAGAGGAGGCTTAGTAAGCTGCTCATCCCCCCAAAGATGCATATTATTCCAGTACTCTTATGAGATGTGGCTGAGGAGTAGAATAGAAATGCATGTTCTTAAAAAAAAAAAAAGAAAGAAAGAAAGAAATGCATGTTCTTCCAGAGAAATGATTCTACCACCTAGAAAAACAATGGATTGGGAAAAATAAAGGCCTTATCAAGTAACAGTTCTTATCTTCTTCCCAATAAGAATGTTTGTTGAAGTTAATTGTTCACCGTCTCACTATTGTATTTTGAAGGAAGTACACTTTTATTGGGTCCTTCAGATCCTCACTCTGTGGAAAGATGATAAGTTTTGCATTTTGTGCCCAGATTAGATGAAATCTTCAGAATTGCTTCCTTAGAGGTGGAGGTGAATATATTTTGATTTCAGATGGAAGGAAACAATTTTTTTTATCAAAACAGCAAACAGCAGTATGTTCATGTGTGCTCAGAAGCAGTGGCTGACTCCTAGTTTTGTGTAATATGAGGAGGAAATAAATTTTTATAATTAGAAAGCACTAGGATTCATAGTTGTGTGTTACCATAGAAAGACTAACCTAGAGATGCTTTGTTCATTAGTTTTCATATTTTTTTGTCTTAATAAAATAAATGCAGGCTATAATATTTTTTCTAAGTACTGCTTTAACAGATTTCTGTAAGTTTTGGTATGTGATAGATTCATAACCTTTTAGTTATAAATTTTTTTTTCATGGATCACTGCCTTGTTATGGTGAAGGGGCTTGCATAACTCAATGAAGCTATGAGCCCAGGCCACACAAGATGGATGGGTCATAGTGGAGAGTTCTGACAATATGTGGTCCACTGGAGGAGGGAATGGCAAACCACTCCAGTATACTAGCTGTGAGAACCCCATGAACTGTATAAAAAGGCAAATATTTTCTAGCTGCCATTTTAATTTTTTCCCATGTCTAATTTAAAGTGAGTTTCCAATGTTCAAATTTTTGGAAGAGTTCTAATTATTTTTTATTGGTTTCTAATTTGATTACACTTTGTAAGAAAAAGTGGTCCATATTATATTAATCCTTTGAAATTTCTTGACAGTTTCATCAGGGCCCAGTAAGAGACAATTTTAGTAAATGTCAAAAGTGCAGTAAGGAAGAATATATGTTAGAACAGAGGTCAACGCCAAGCAAGCATACTAAACAAACACCACCACTCAAAAAACCACTTGTATCCTCAAAAAGTGTTAGTCTCTCAGTCGTGTCTGAATCTTTGTGACCCCATAGACCACCACCCACCCCATAGACCACCCACCCCATAGACCACCAACAAGGCTCCTCTATCCATGGAGTTCTGGAATGGGTAGCCATTCCTTTTTCCAGGGGATCTTCCCAACCCAGGGATCAAACTTGAGTCTCTGCATTGTGGGCAGATTATTTATGGTCTGAGACACCCAAAGTGATTGATGAATGTGCTTTACTTAGTTACATTTATCCCTGTGCACCTAGGACATTTTCATCTGGAACCAGAATCCAGAAAACCCTGAGCCAGGAGAAGACTTTAGTGATAACATTTACTTTTGAAATTTTCACCTACTTAAACAAGGGGTAGGTTGGACTGGGAGGAGACTGGTGAGAACAACCACTGGCCTAGGTAAAGGCCATGAGCGTACTGGAACAGATAGGTATCTGGAGATGCTCCCATAGCCTCACTGTCATCCACCACACCTCTCCCTGCTTCCTACCCACAGACTGAAATGCTGCCGGTTCGAGGCAAGAAGGATTCCTGGGCTTTTCTTCCCTCCCCTCCTTCCCTTCTTCTCTTTCTCTCTTAAGAAAGAGAATTACCAGGCACTATGGTTGAGAGTCCCTTGGACTGCAAGGAGATCCAATCAGTCCATCCTAAAGGAGATCAGTCCTGGGTGTTCCTTGGAAGGACTGATGCTGAAGCTGAAACTCCAATACTTTGGCCACCTGATGTGAAGAGTTGACTCATTGGAAAAGACCCTGATGCTGGGAGGGATTGAGGGCAGGAAGAGAAGGGGGCAACAGAGGATGAGATGGCTGGATGGCATCACTGACTTGATGGACATGAGTTTGAGTAAACTTTGGGAGTTTGTGATGGACAGGGAAGCCTGGCGTGCTGTGATTCATGGGGTCGCAAAGAGTCGGACACAACTGAGCAACTGAACTGACTGAACACTAAGCACAGTGATGAAAAACACGATGTGTTAGGGAGTAAATGAGAAGAGGTCAGAAGGCCTCAAGTGGAAGAAGAATGTTAAGTGCCCCCAAGTCTGGGAAAAGAAGTTGCTTGGGCCCTTAAGAAAATGATTGCTCTGGCTTCCCTGATTGGAATGTGTCTAACACCAGGAATGCAACTAGGAGTACCCATGGGTGCATCTGTTTCCTGGCTGAAAGGAGAGGTGAATAGTTACAGTGTTTTACACCTGCCAGTGTTGTAAAGTTTCCTCTAGATGATTATACAATCACACAGAGTTTCCTCTACATGATTTTTTCTTTCACTGGTCAACTCCTCACACCAGATATGACATATCATTAACAAGGATCTATATTGTTTATAAAAGTTCTTCCCAAGGGAAATATATGAGCCACATATATTTAATTTAAATGTTCCAGAGGTAACATTTAAAGAAAAAGAAATAATTGAATTCAGTGATGTATGTTATTTAACTCAGTATATATCACAGATATTAGCATTTAAATATGTAATCACTATAAAAATATTAATGAGATATTTTATGGGTTTTTCTTGTTCTTCTACATCAGAAATTCTGCATGTACACTTATAGTACATCTTAATTTGTACTACCCACATTTCAAGTATTTGGATTGTTGCTCACCAGGCTCCTCTGCCCATGGAATTTTCCAGGCAAGAACACTAGAGTAGATTGTATTTCCTACTCCAGGGGATCTTCCCAACCCAGGGATCAAACCTGCATCTCTTGTGTCTACTACATTGGCAGGCAGATTCTTTATCACTGCTCCTCCTGGGAAGCCCTATTCAATAGACACATATAGCTAATGGCTAGCATATTGCATGTGTGGGTTTGTGTGAAAGTGTTAGTCACTCAGTCGTGTCTGATTCTTTGAGATGCCTTGTCCGTAGCCTGCCAGGCTCTTCTGTCCTTGGAATTCTCCAGGCAAGAATACTGGAGTGGGTAGCCATTCCCTTCTCTAGGGGATCTTCCCGACCCAGGGATCGAACCAGGGTCCCCTACACTGCAGGCAGATTTTTTACCCTCTGAGCCAACAGTGAAGTAAAACTCAGGTCAAAACATAGGTGAATTGTTAAGTACGTATTTCATTTATAACACGGATAGGAAGAAAGGAAATATAGAGATCAGTGCAACAGTTTATGAAAGTCAGAGAGGTTTGTACATTAAACATCTAAATAAACTTGAGAACAACCACCATGGAAGTAAAGGCTGTGTATGCAATTCAAGTTCAGGTTCATAAATAACAGAGATCCCTTTTAAAAAAACTGTCTGATAAATGATTGTGTCTCCTATTTACGTGAGATTACTTTTGTTTTTAACTTCAGTGTTTTAAATTGTTTTGTTTACAGGGTGGAAAGTTCTTGATTTGTCATCACAATAGCTAATGCAATGACTCTTTGGCCTTGGAGAGAGAGGAAATCCTACACTGTATGAGGCTGCTGGACTTCAGGGTGGGACCGTGTTATTCTGAAGAACAAGCCAGTCAAAATTAGTCAAGGCTTAATTCAGAGCCAAAACAAAAATAAGGATTGCTTGGGAAGAACTTCATGTGTTCCTAAGAACAGGACATGTATTTGATCAAATCACAACTATATTTCTTAAGCACCTAATGTATTCAACACCTTTGTTATTCCCTGGGATTAGTAATTTCATAAAATAGGGACACAAACCAGTATCTAATCTACAACTAATTGAAATATTCCAAAATGTTGTCAGGTATTTTTTAAGGGCGAACTCAAGAAATCAAATCTCTCTGTGGTAATGAGCCCCTCAGCCTTCGGAGAAGGCAGAATTACTGGGAAAGGAGTGGATAGAGGGGAAGGAAACATAATTCTGTGATCTCTGTGCTATAGCTAACAAAAGATATGAGAAAATACTAGGAAGTTTGACAGAAGGGTAGACCCAGGGACCCAGATTTTTGTCAGTCACATGATGAAGGAACATTTAAGTTTAGATTGTGTGAGCTTTGAATAGTCTGAACCTATCCCTGGATGTTGTTTTTCACATCTCAATCTTTACCTGATCTAGTACATTTCATGCTCAAAATACTATCATCATTACTTTGTTATGATCATCATTACTTTGTTCTATACTGCATGCATTGAGAATAAAATTTAACATTCAATCTTATAAAATGAAACAAAACAAAAAACAGTGCCCAAACTATATCTTGGTATTTTGAAGTACAACCTAAAAATCGACTTGCTAACCGCTCTTCTGAGCCTATAGTACAGGAGACCCGGGTTCAATCCCTGGGTCGGGAAGTTCCCCTGGAGAAGGAAATGGCTACCCACTCGAGTATTCTGGCCTGGAGAATTCCATGGACAGAGGAGCCTGGCAGACTACAGTCCATGGGGTTGCAAAGAGTCGGACATGACTGAGCAATTAACACAACACTTCTGGGGTTAGCTGGTTCCTAGATTCAAGAATGACCCTTGGAGATCAAAGGTTCAAATTTATCCTCATTTTTGAATAAAAATGAGCATAGTCCTTGATAAATCCTGGTACAAAATTTCCAGATTCTACTGCATCCAGAATAATTGCCATCATGATCCAAATGGCCCTCACGAGTCGTAATCAAATGACAAAACACAGAGGTCAAATGCAGAGCAGAATAAGATGAATGTCATCACCTCACCCAGGCAGTAGTCTGCCAGGCCTCCATGATATATTAGCAGTATTTGAATTGTTACCATTAATGATATGAGAAAAAAAAATTACACAGTGCACGGTGTCCTTCTAACTCCCATGCAGTATGCAGTTTGCAGTGAGCCCAGCCTTACATATACCCCAGCCCCTCTCACTAATTATTCATTAAGCTTATTCCCCAGCTGAATTCTCATTTCCATAACCTATTTTCCTCTTCACCTTTCTACCTCTCTGCTCTAGTTTTAATTTTTTTTTCCTTTCTTCCTCTATAATGCAAGAGTACACTGTGTCCCTCGATAGCACATTTTTAATATTCAGGTTAGTATTATTAGACTAAAACATTGCTCTCTACCACCATTGGCCCCTGAAGCAATCGTGAAATGACAATCCATTTAAAGCAGAGCTCCAGTCTAAGTGAAAAGGTACAGACCCCTCAGCTATAAACGGGGTATGGATTTCATTGTATTTCCTCTGCATACTATTTATTTTAGAGGCTATGGAGCCTCTTGCTTAACTATACTTACAGTGTCAGATAACATGCAACTGAAAGAGTTACTTTTTCTTTTGCATTTATGGTGAATTAAGTCCTTGAGGAAGGTAAAAAGCCCTGGACAGTCAGGAATCTTATTCTCAGGCACAAACTTCCAGCTTAATACTGGCTGTGAGATCATGAGCAAGTCATTCAATTTATCTAAACCTCTGTTTCCTCATCTGTAATATGGAAATCTGGAAATAATATCTGTAATATTCAAATAATAAAGTACTTACATTAGCATCACTGGGAAAGGAAATGAAATAACACACAGTTTCTCATACACAAGGCAGGCTCAAGAAGTTAATTACATTATTATCATCATTGTTATCTTCATTAATAATACATTAGTATTATCATAATGATAATTATCTTCACCAACTGGTGAGCAAATCTCTGTGGAGTTCATTCAGTGTCCAAAACACAGACTGAAAAAGATGATCAGACAGCAGGTGCCATCGCTGGGGTCTGCTCTTTGGGTTATTCCAGTTTTAGTAGGAAACATAAGATGAATGTTTGATTCTTTCTGCTTATTTACCAGTTTAGCACATTAAATTTGGTTGATGAATCTCTTGAGTCTCTTTTAATTGATAGTCTCCTCCATTTTTTTTTTTAATAGTTGATTGTTGGAAATACTGTCATTTGATCTTTAGAGATCTTTAGAGTTTCCCTCAGTTTGCATTTTGTTAGTTTCATCCCTATGGAGTAGTTCATTGGTTCCTGTGTTCTCTATTTTTCTTGTCAGTTGCTAGATCTAAGGCTTGATCAGATTCAGATTTGATTTTTAACAAGACTGCTCTATAGATGATGAAGTATTGTTCATTAGGAAGCACACTGTCTCTTTTTCAATTTTATAAGCCGCCATTGATGCTCTGTGTCTTGATTCCTAATGGGGATCAATAGGGGGTGGCAAGGAGCAGTAAAAAGATAATACTCCAATAGATTTATTACTTAGTTTATTTCCTAGAATATTTCTATGAAGGGAAACTTCTCCTCATCTACCCAACAGTTACCAATGGTACAATATAGGAAAGGCATATATCTACCTAGTGGTTACCAATAGAAGGAAGATAGGGTAAATGCTTTGATTAAATTAATTTTTATTAAAAATAATAAATTGGTTCTCTAGCATTATGGAACCAATGTACTTGGTGATGGTGGTAATTTTAAGTAAGTATTATTGTGAAGCAACTAATTAAAATATATTTTGTTTTAAAGTCACTGCAGTTAGCATGATTATTGATGCTAAAATTGTTCCATCTTTTTTCTGATAAAGTAGATTTTACTGTAATATGTGAATACTTGCCCAGTAACTGAAAGGTGAAAGTGTTAGTTGCTCAGTCGAGTCTAAATTCTTTTCAATGAAATTAAAAAGTGAAAGTGTTTGTCACTCAGTCCTATCCATCTCTTTTTAACCCCATGGACTGCAGCACACCAGGCTCCTCTGTTCACGGAATTCTCCAGGCAAGAGTACTTGAGTGTGTAGCTATTCCCTTCTCCAGGGGATCTTCCTGACCCAGGAATTGAACCCTGGTCTCTCACATTTCAGACAGATTCTTTATCATCTGAGCCACCAGGATAATCAGACCCAAATCAGTAAATTTAAAGAAACTTTAAAAAATGACTAACAGAGTTCACATAGTTGTACATATAAAACATTAATCAAACAACTATAGAACATGTTTGAATCTAGTACCTTTGGAATTGTTCCATCTTCTGCCAGTGGGGTCCTCCTTAGGTCCTCCTGAATCCTTTTAACGTGACATAATTGGGTTTTTTGATAGCTTCTTTGCTAACTGTGCATGCATGAGTGCGAAGTCACTTCAGCAGCGTCCGACTCTTTGCGACCCTAAGGACTGTAGCCTGCCAGGTTCCTCTGTCCAAGGGATTCTCCAGGCAAGAATACTGGAGTAGGTTGCCATGCCCTCCTCCAGGGGACTCTTCCCTACTAAGGGATTGAACCTGCATCTCTTGCAGCTCTTGTATTGCAGGCAGGTTCTTTACTTCTGAGCCACCGGGGAAGCCTCTGTCCCAAGCACTTTGGTATGTTTTAGGGGAAAACAGCATAATAAGACCAAATTCTGAGTGCAAGGCGGCTTCTTGCTCTTTGGCAATTCATGGATTTTTGGCCTTTTCATTAGATTATGTAAAAGTTCTGCACCTAATCCCACTATTGGGGATAGGGCGTTCCCCCACATCTGCAACAAGCAATTCTCAGGCCCCTTGTGGGTGTCCTACATTTCAACTCATTTCTGACACTGTCTACTCAGAGACAGCATCAGATTCCACAGGATAAGGGTTCAGCCCTACAAAACTGCCCCCAACACACACATTCCAATGCCACTTGCAAGCCCAGATTGTCCTCTGTGCTTTTGACTGAACTGCTACATATTTAAGGTTACAACAACCCCCTCTTTGGGTTATGTTAATTTGCTAGCATGACTCACAAAGCTCAGTAAATATCTTGCTTACTAGATCACTGGCTTATTATAAAAGGATATAACTCAGAAATAGCCAGATGGAAGAAATGCATAGGGCAAGGCACAGGGAAAAGGCATGGAGCCTCCATGCCTCTCCACACAGGCCACTCTTCACAAACTTCCACGTGTTCACCCACCCAGAAGTTCTCTGAACCCTGTCCATTGGGTTCTTAATGGAGGTTTTATTATATAGACACGATTGATTAAATCATTAGCCATAGGTGACTGATTCAACTTCCAACTCCTCTCCCCTCTCTCAAGGTCAAGAGGGTAGGATTGAAAGTTCTAAGTCTCTAACAACAAGGTTGATTGTCCTGGCAGTCAGCCACCATCCTTCAGTGAGGTCCAAAAGTCACCTCATTAACATAACAAATGACACCTTTGTTACTCTCAACACTTCGAAAATTCCAAGGGTTTTAGGAACTCTGTGCCAGAAACAGTGGACAGAGACCAAATACTTATTTCTTATTATAAATCACACTAAGTTAGGATTTATGTTGAAGATAAATGACATCAAAATATTTAAGGGACTTCCCTGGTGGTCCAGTGGTTAAGAATCCACCTGCCAATGCAGGGGTCAACAGCTTCAGTCCCTGGTCTGGGACCATCCCATGTGCTGTGCGGGAATTAAGTGTGTGGGCCACAACTACTGACCCGTACCCTGGAGCCCAGTGTCACGACTGCTGAAGCGCATGCATTCCAGAGCCTGTGCTCTGCAACAAGTGAAGTCACTGCAATGCCAAGCCCATGCACTGCAGTTAGAGCATAGCCCCTGCTCACTGTAACTAGAGAAAGCCCGTGCACAGCAATGAAGACCCAGGGCAGCCAATAAATAATAATAATAAGGTATGGCTTCCCTCATAGTTCAGTTGGTAAAGAATCTGCCTGCAATGCAGGAGAGCTCAGTTTGATTCCTGGGTCAGGAAGATCCGCTGGAAAACGGATAGGCTACCCACTCCAGTTTTCTTGGGCTTTCCTTTTGGCTCAGCTGGTAAAGAATCTGCCTGTAATGTGGGAGACCTGAGTTCGATCCCTGGCTTGGGAAGATCCCCTGGAGAAGGGAAAGGCTACCCATTCCAGTATTCTGGCCTGGAGAATTCCATGGACTATATAGTCCATGGGGTTGCAAAAAATTCTTTACCACTGAGCCATCTGAGAAGCCTTCTCTTACTATCAAAACATCAAAACCAAGCAAATTTGCTCAGTTGTGTCTGACTCTTTGTGATGTATAGTCCATGGAATTCTCCAGGCCAGAATACTGGAGTGGGAGGCATACATTCTTTATCTTTATCTACCCTTATTGCTTTTAAATTTAGTGTTAGATTTAGGCAAGATTTAGGGCTTCACTGGTGGCTCAGATGATAAAGAATCTGCCTGCAATGCAGGAGACTTGGGTTCAATCCCTGGGTTGGGAAGGTCCCCTTAAGAAGGGAATAGCAACCCACTCCAGTATTCCTGCCTGGAGAATTCCGTGGACAGAGAAACCTGGTGGGCTACATTCCATGGGGTAGCAAAGAGTCGGATGCGACTGAGCAACTAACACTTTCACTTTTCACTTAGGAAAGCTTTACCTACTTATATTTATAAAGGAATTCACCCATATCTTTTCTGCTGCTTGTATGGTTTTGTAGTTTTACATTTAAATCCTTTACGAAGTTAACTCTTGAACAACACAAAGGATTAGGAATGCTGACCCTCCAGGCAGTTAAAATTCTGAGTGTCACTAATAGTCAACCCTCCATATCTGAGCTTTTGTAGCCTCAGGTTCAACCAATCCCAGGATAGTGTAGTACTATAATAAACAGTTATTGAAAAAAATCTCTGTGTAAGTGGACCCACACAATTCAAATTCATGTTCTTCAAGGGTAAACTGTACATGTGAAATTTATCCTAGGATAAATATGAAGATGTGAAGAGGGAATCCACTTTTATCTTTTTCCATAAACTATTTATCTTCACATCATTTATTTTATAAATTCATTTTTTTTAACTAAGATGCTATCTGTGGTAGATGGCATAAAGCACTGTCTCCCACAAAAATATTCAAGTCCTAATCCTTGAAACCTGCGAACTTGTTTACATGGCAAGGGGGAATTACAGTAGCAAATGGAATTAAGTTTGCTAATTAGCCAACCTTAAAATAAGAAGATTACTTTTATCTAGGTAGGCTCAGAATAATCACAGGGTCCTTTAAAGTGGGAGAGGGAGGCAGAAAAGGAAGTCAGAGTCAGAGAAAGATTTGAGATGAAACGTAACACTGCTGGCTTTGAAGAGAAAGGAGGGAGCCATGAGCCTGTTGGGGCCCAGGATAGGCCACACCAAAACATGCCTAACAGGTATACTGATTATTCTGAATTAAAGTTACTTAAGGAATGGCCAGTGCAGAAGGGGCATGCTGACCCTCCTTTCTGTCTCCCTAAAAACTGAAAATAAATCTCCCATGTGAAAGGTGCCCTCCATGCATCTGGAGATAGAAGGACACCCTTTTGCCAATGACAGGGAATCTGAACCAAAAAGTCAATATAAACAAACCTTCTTACTTCTTTAATTTACTGCCCGCAAACCAAATTCTGTTTAGATTCTCCACTAATTGAGCACCCAAACCCTAAGCTTCTTTGTCCTGTCAACTCCTCATGAATTTATTGTTTTGTTTTGTTTTGTTTTTTAACAAAGTGTAAAAGCTGCTTGCTCTGGACACTTCTTAGGTTCCATTTCTATGAAATCTCCATGCACATGAATTAAAATTTGTTTATTTTCTCCTGTTAATCTGGCTTGTGTCAATTTTATTGTTATTCCAGTCAGAAGAACTCAAGAGGGGTAGTGGGGAGATTTTTCTCTCCCCAGCAAGCCATGAACCATAAAATACAGAAGGCCTGTTGAAGCTGGGGAGAACAAGGAAATGGCTCTTTCCTAAAGCCTACAGAAGTGATGCAGCCCTGCAGACACCTTGATTTTAACCTACTGAGAACCTTTTCCAATTTCTGATCTACAGAACTATTACTAAATTCGTGTCATATTGAGTCACTAAGTTTGCGATAATAGCAATAGGAAACTCACACATCATCTTTATCATAAACTAAATGTAAGAATTAATTTGGATTTATTTCTGCATTTTCTACTCTATTCCTCCGTTTGTCTTTCCATGCGCCAATGTGTGTGTGTGCTCAGTCATGTCTGACTGTGCAGCCCCGTGGGCTATAACCCTCCAGGCTCCTCTGTTCATGGGATTTTTTAGGCAAGAATACTAGAGTGGGTTGCCATTTCCCACTCCAGAGGATCTTCCCAACCCAGAGATCAAACCCACATTTCTTAAGTCTCCTGCATTACAGGCAAGTTCTTTACCACGCGTGCCACCTGGGAAGCTCATGCCAGTATGATACTGTTTTTCGTTTGCTGGTTTTGGATTTTTGTTTGTTTTGTTGGCTTGTATTTTGGCTGTGATGGGTCTTTGTTGCGGTGCTTGGGCTTCTCTTGTTGCAGAGCACAGGCTCAGTAGTTGTGTTGCACAGGTTTAGTTGCCCAGCAACATGGGGGACTTTTATTTTCCAGACCAGGGATTGAACCCAGTCTCCTACATTGGAAGGTGGATTCTTAACCACTGGCCACCAGAGAAATCCCAATATTGTTTTAATTATAGAGAATTTATTGTGTTTAATATTTCTGCTAGAGAAACCCCCCACTTCCCCCCAAGGTTTTCCTGGATAATCCCACTTGTTTATTTTTACAGATAAATTTTGTAATCAATTTGTTTAACTCCAGCGGTAGGGGGAGAAGAACTTGATAATATCCTCAGTACCAATGGACTTCCCTGGTGGTTCAGTCAGTGAAGAGTCTGCCTGCAATGCAGGAGACCCAGGTTCAATCCCTGGGCCGGAAAAATCACCTGGAGAAGGAAATGGCAACTCACTCCAATATTCTTGCCTGGTGAATTCCATGGATAGAGGAGCCTGGTGGGCTATGGTCCATGGGGTCACAAAGAGTTGGACTCAACAGAGTGACTAACACTTAGTACCAATAATATTTTAACTTTGGTAAGTCACATATTTGCTTTGTGATGGAGGCTCAGTGATTCATACAATGAAAGACTGTACCTGGTATAATATGCCAGCCAGGAGCTACAGTGGAAAAAATAAAAGAAAACTATGGTTAAAAATTACTTGGAAATCAGTTATGTAAACAAACAATTTCTTTATTATCAGAAAGGTATTTAACACCCAGCCACAGAAACCACACTCCAACTAACTTAAGGGGGAAAAAAGACATTAATTGATTCATACAATTGAAATTCCCAATTGAGGTTGGGTTTGGGTACTCAAATGACCTCACAAACAGGTCTCTGTTGCTCAACCCTTTCTTCTTTGATACGATCTTTCAGCTTGAGCACACCCGCTTGTATAGTGGCTCCCTCTTGCTATGGACATGGACTTGACCAACTTAGCCACTTCTGCTGGAAAAGGGTGCCTCTTCTGCAATAGCTCTAGCAAAATTTAAAAAGTGAAGTCTCATTAATCTGGCTTGCTACATTACTCACCCCTGAGCCAATCACTGTGAACAGAGGAATAAAATACTCTGAATAGCTGTGGATCATGAAGCTACTCTTGAGGATGGCGTGGAGTCAGCTCCCCCTAACTGCAAAGGTAAGAGAAAAGGAGAGGGATTCCCCAAAGGAGAAGGCAGACAGGGCACTGTGAGAAGAAAAAGATTTGATAGACAGAGGACAGGCAAAAGGAACACACAGCGATTCCAATGGATTAGTTCCATGTAAATAAATACAGGTGTGAAGTGTCACTGGGTGGTATAGAGATGAGGAAAAAGGACTAATTACACTTGACTAGGAGCTGATTGACTGTCAACGTTTAAAGAACACACAAAATCCCCATTCTGAACTCTGAAAGAGTCATAACCAAGTCTGCCAAACACTTTCTCCAGTTTTGCCAAACACCAGCTGCATAGTATCCAACCCCTCCAGGAGAGTCAACGCCTTCCCAGCTGTGCTCTTGAGCCAGATTGGCTTGTCAACCAGACTCTTTGGAAGGAGTTTCAACTCAGTGAAGTTAAAATGAAAAACAAGGTTGGAAGATTTAAACATAAAGTCTATTGAGGAGAAAAATCTGTCTGGCAAGGTAGTGTCAAAAGATTTCAGATCGTTTTATTTAAGAAGAATTCTAAAGGCCAAGGTAAGAAAACAGAGCAGGACTTTTCAGGAAAAAAGTACAAAACATGGCAGGCTGAAAGAACGTGGTATGTTTGAGGAGCTATGGCTATCCCGTGCAGATCTGGGGTGTGAAAATGTCCGGATGCAAGACTGGAGAAGTAGCAGGAGGGTCTTTCACGCCATGCTGAAGACTTAGCACCTGATTCTGAGTGGCATCCAATGGTTCTACAGAGACGAGGAGGAGGATCAGACTTTGTTTTAGGAGGACAGCCAAGTCGATCATGTAAAACTGGATTGGGTGGGAGGGATAAAGCAGATCAGGTGTCCCCAGCCTCTGCCTTGTAATGCCTAATGATCTGAGGTGGAACTGATGCAATAATAATAGACATAAAGTGCACAATATGTGTAATGTGCTTGAATCATCCCCAAACCATCCCCTCCTACCCCCTCCACCCCTGGTCCATGGAAAAATGGTCATCTGTGAAATTGGTCCCTGGTGCCAAAAAGGTTGGAGAAGGCAATGGCACCGCACTCCAGTACTCTTGCCTGGAAAATCCCATGGATGGAGGAGCCTGGTGGGCTGCGGTCCACTGGGTCGCTAAGAGTCAGACATGACTAAGCAACTTCACTTTCACTTTTCACTTCATGCATTGGAGAAGGAAATGGGAACCCACTCCAGTGTTCTTGCCTGGAGAATCCCAGGGATGGGGGAGCCCGATGGGCTGCCGTCTATGGGGTCCCACAGAGTCGGACACGACTGAAGTGACTTAGCAGTAGCAGCAGCAGCCAAAAAGGTGGGAGACTGCTGAAGCAGATGACCCATGAGAAGGCTACTATGATTGTTTTCAGCAACATAATGAGAACAACAGTTGAGAGGAAAAGAAGGATTAGCTCATCATTTTTTTCCAAAGAATTTTCCAAGGAACACTAATTCAGTTTGATATTAATGTGAAAAAAACAAAAAACATACTGTAGCCAAATAAAGTGAGGTCACTGTTTACTGCAGGGCTTCTCAGAACACTTAATATACTAATGTGTAGATTAACTATCTCAAAGCAGATTAGCTATCTCAAAGTAGTAACTTTGCCAACTCCATTTGTATGCTAACTGGATATTTTTTTGCCCACTCTTTTGAAAATACTGGATTAGAGAGTTTTTTAAAAAGTGATAAGATACTATAAAATGCATATGATAAATAATAAAAAAAAATATTAAAATAGGAAATAGTATAAGTATAATACATAATTTATTATAACCTCTTAAATATAGGGAAATATTTCAACATGGCTCTCCACCAAGATGTTTAATGGGGCAATCTAGCACATGTGTGTCAAAGAAAGTCTAAAAGCCAGATCACAATAATTTAAAGTTGCAGCTCTTGCCAGACTTCTTTTTAATCTCTCAGGCAATGGTACCCTGATTCCTCACCAAAAGCAATCCTTAAAAAAAAGTTTTGTTTGTTTTTTATTTGGCTGCACAGGGGTCTTTGTTGTGGAACTTGGAATCTTAGGCATCTTTTAGTTACAATGTGTGAGATCTAGTTTCCTGACCAGGGATCGAACCCAGGCCCCCTGGGAGCACAGAATCTTAGGGAAGCAGGACCATCAGGGAAGCTATTATTTTTAATAACAGTTACAACAGAGATTTTTAGGAAGGCAATGGAATATGTTACTCCTGGCCACTTCACAAACATAAATAGTTGAGTAAGATTTCTGACTTTGCATTTCCATGGCCCACAGTGGTAACCAGCCTCCAAGAAGGGCCTCTTGACAATGGTCCTTCAAGCAGCATAGCTAGTGAGGAACCACCTCTTGCCAACATCTTTCAGAGTCTGCAGCCATGATTGACATCTCCATGGCAACCTCATGAGAGACCTTGAGTCAGACCATTCAGCTAAACTGCTCCTGAATTCCTTACCTTCCAAAACTGTGTGAAGCAACAAACACTTATGCTTTAAGTATCCCCCTAAGTTTTGGGATACGTTGTTACACAGAGAGGTGATGAGATACCATCTTATATTTTATCATGCAAAAAACATATAACATTTCTCCTCTTGTAGCCCACTCAGGCCTAGACCCTCTGGGAATTCCTCAGGCCCTGAAACTGCTCTTGCCCATGGCTCTGACTACTACACCAAAGTGAACACATACCTTTCAGTCTGTCTCTTTCTTGTTCTCTCTATAGCATTTAATAGAGTTGAATATTTTCTTCAGAAAACATGCCCCTCTGTTCTTCTTGGTATTATACTTTTCTGGTTTTCATTCTTTCTGTTGATCTTTCTCCTTCTCCTTTAGAGTAAAGCTGGTATCATGGAAACTTCAGAAGATTAAGGCTGGAGAGAGGGAGAAAAGTCAGGTTATAAAGGATCTTTTATATCAGCCTATAGAGTCTGGACTTTATTCCTTCAGCTATTCTTTGAATATGGGTGTTATTCTTATTTCTGTCCTAAGCCTTCGTCTTTCCTCATTCCCTCTCTGCTCCCTAGGTTATCTTGGCCTTTCCCACTAGAATGCACACTATATGAGAGCCGAGATTTTTAGTCTGTTTTCCTTGCTGAAGCCCCAGTGCCTAGAGCTCACCACACAGTAAGCGCTCCAATACTTAGTAAATGAATGGATCCACTTAACGATTTCTATGCTGATGACTCTTTAACCTCCAACTTAACATACTTGCTGAGCTCTAAATCCATATATTCTGCTTCCCACAATGTACCTGCATTTGGGTGGTCAACAGAAACTCCTCATCTCCTTTCTCCTGTGTTCCTTTTCTCAACAATGGACACCACCATCCACCTTCCAAACAAGAAACTTGGTCATCCTTGCATTTTCTCTCTCACTCACTTCCTATATCCAATTAATCACTGAACCATGTTGATTCAACTTCCAGAAACATCTTTCAAGTTGTCTTTTTCTCTTCATATTCCTACCAGTTATGGTTTTATTTTTCCTGGATGCTTATAATAGTCTTCTAGTTAAATAGTCTAACCACTTTGTATCCCTCCAATCCATTCTCCACACTACAGATAAAATAATAATAAAAATGCAAAAGTTTTTCTACTTAAAAACCATTAATGGCTTTATAACAGTCAGGAAAGAAGAGGCCAATGCTTCTGAATCAAAGCCAAAATCTCTATCATTCAAAAGACAGAACATCTCTCTGTTCCTAGATCAGGGTTTCTTCCAGGCAACTTTCTTTATCATCAATCCAGATTGGACCCACCTCATAGTTCTGCCATCACAGGGCTTCCCTGTTCAGTCTTGGGGGATGGAGAGGGATGTAAAATCCTTCAGAGATATTCATTACCTCAGGACATGTGAGAGTTTCCTATTTCTACTAATAACAAATTACCACGAGTACAGTGGCTTAGGACAATGCAAAGTTTTTATCTTACAGCTCTGAAGGGCAAGAGGCTCAATTGGGTCTCATTGGGCTAAAGTCTAGGTGTCAGGTGGTTCTCTCTGGAGAGTCAAAGAGAGGATCCTTTTCTTTGCTTTTTCTAGCTTCTAGAAGCTGCCTGCTTTCCTTGGCTCAGAGCCCATTCCTCCATCTCCAAAGCTAGCAGTGTAGTGTCTTCAAATCCCACTACCTCTCTCTCTCCCCACTTTGCCCTCCCTCTCTTCTTTCCCTCCCTCCCTCCTTGCTGCTTCTGTTAACACACCTCTTCTGGTCCCTTAGAATTACTCAGCCCATTGGATAATCCAGGGGCTTCCCAAGCGGCTCAGATGGTAAAGAACGTGTTTGCAATGTAGAAGACCTGGGAAGATCCCCTGGAGAAGGGAATGGCAGCCCACTCTAGTATTCTTACCTGGAGAATTCCATGGATAGAGGAGCCTGGTGGGCTATAGTCCATGGGGTCGCAACGAATCACACACAACTGAGTGACTAACACTTTCGGTTTCCTTGGATAATCCAGGATAGCTACCCCATCTCAAGACCCTTAACTTCAACACATCTGAAAAATGACTTTAGCCATGTAAGTCAACACAGTCCCAGGTTCTTGTAATTGGGACATTAATCTCTTTGGGGATGGGCATTATTTGCTGCAGTCCAATTGCTGTGTTGTGCTGTGCTGTGCTTAGTCGCTCAGTCTTGTCCAGCTCTTTCACTACATGCATTCTATTACCAGAACTAGTCACATCCCCCAAACTGCAAGTGTTCTGAGAAGCAGAGTCTTAAATGTGACCCGGAAGGAGAAAAGAACCAGATATTGGTGAGCACTAGTAATGTCTTTACCAGCTGAGCTGGGTGGATCAGACAGTAAAGAATTTGCCTGCAATGCAGGAGACCTGGGTTCGATCCCTGGGTTGGGAAGATTGCCTGGAGGAGGGCATAGAACCCACTCCAGTACTGTTGCCTGGAGAACCCCCATGGACAGAGGAGCCTGACGGGTTACAGTCCATGGGGTCGCAAAGAGTCGGACATGACAGAGCCACTAAGCACCGCACAGTACTGTCTACTCTAGGGTTCCTCTATAGTTATGAAGCCTAAACAGTTAACTTAGCTCGCTAGACTTTGGGATCTGCTCCACCGCAACCTATCTATGCTGTATCTCTTCAGAACTAATTACAGTTGCCCAGATGCACTGCCTGTTTCTTATCAGCCCAGGATTATCACACAAGCTATTCCTTCCTCCTGGAAAACTTTTTTCTCTCATTTAATTTTTATCTTCCCTTCAAGTTTTTCACCTAAATTTTCACATATTGTTATAAGCATTTATTTCACTAATTTTTAAACATAATTATCTACTTATTTTGCTTTAATGATGTATGTATGTGCTCAGTTGCTTGGTTGTGTCTGACTCTTTGAAACCCTATGGACATTAGCCCACCAGCCTCCTCTGTTCATGGTATTTCCCAGGCAAGAATACTGGAGTAGATTGCATTCCCTTCTACAAGGGATCATCCTGACCCAGGGATCGAACCAGTGTCTCCTGCGTCTCCTTCATTGGCAGGCATGTTCTTTACCTGCTGAGCCACAAAGGAAGCCCAATAATGTATAAATTGTTTCTAATTGTATATATAAAAAATATTCCCGGAGTAGTATGACCTCAGTATTCCAAGATTAGCTTTGGATTTCAGAATTATTTTTCCTCTAATATGAACTTTAGTTATCTCATCAATAATAATTTGAGACATCTCTGGCGGTCCAGTGTTAAGAATCCACCTGCCAATGCAGGAGACATGGGTGTGATCCCTGGTCTGGGAAGATTCACATGCCACAGGGCAACTAAGTCTGTGTGCCACAGCTACTGAGATTTCCTAGAGCCCATGTTCTGTAGCAAGAGAAGCCACCTCAACAAGAAGCCCAAACACAGCAATACAGACTCAGCACAGCCAAAAATAAATAAATGAATTAATTAATTAAAATTTTTAAATAATAATAATTTGAATTATCTCATGATTTAACAGACTGTGTATTCAACAAGCATGATCTCTGTCCTTCCAAGGGTTTAAATAGAGGCTAGATCTATAACCTGTTCAAATCAACATTGCCTCGAGCTACTCCATTTTTGTTAGTATTCTATCAGACTTTCAGTCACTGAGTTTGCAAATACTAGAGTCACTTTTAGCTATTTCCACTCCATCCTGCCCATATCAGTCATAGGGTACAGCTGTCTACTGTACAACTGTCTACTGTCTATTTCCTTCGAGCTACTCCATTTTTGTTAGTATTCTATCAGACTTTCAATCACTGAGTTTGCAAATACTAGAGTCACTTTTAGCTATTTCCACTCCATCCTGCCCATATCAGTCATAGGGTACAGCTGTCTACTGTACAACTGTCTACTGTCTATTTCCGCGTAAACTAGCAGCCTCTGTTCTAGCTGAGATCTAACTACCTCTTAGTCTACTGTAGTAATTCCCCAACTCCTCTCTCTACCTCTTATGGCCCTTCACTAGCCCTTTCCCCCAATCTCTTTCACACACAAATCCCAAGTAAGTCATTAATTTGGGCCAGTTCAACATGCATATCTTGCCCCAGCTAAATTCTCCAGACTTGGCCATGACAAGAGCTAGTTTTACAGGGCTCTTATGCATGCTCACTTATTAGCCTTTGCCTGCACCCACTACTATACTCTTTTTAACTTATACCAAGTTAAAAAAAGAGTACTCATTATGCAAACAAAACATCAAGGTAAGACTCTAAGCAACTCCTTCACTGGATTTCCACGCTAGACCCTTTATGTAGAAATTCTCTAGCTGTCTCTTCTTTCCAATTACTTCTCTTTTTATATACTATGTTTCAACTAATCTGGACTCTTTAGTGTTTAATGGGTTGAGTTCCATTTTCCTCAAACCTAGATGCATGTTTCTCCATAAGCAGTGATGTGGTTAAGAGCATAAGCAGTGATGTGGTTAAGAGCGTGGGTGCATTACTCATACTGTCTGGGATCAAAGGCCTGCTCCACCATTTACTTATTTTGTGGCCTTGGGCAAATTAATTAGTATCTTTGCACCTCCGTTGCCCCATTTGTAAAATAGGGATAATAATAAGCCTAATTTATAGAATTGTGAGAATTAAATGACAGAAATGTATGTGAAGCATTAGTAAGTGGGTTGTTACTGAGAAATGCCTAATTTCATTTATTATGATTCTAAGGGATTTTATGCTTCCTTCTCTGTTGCCAAATTCCACCTTTACAAAGTCCTCCTTATCTTTTCATATTCAGTTAAAAAACCTACCATCTTGATGAAAATATAGTCCTTAACTAGGTACTTTCACACATGCACATTTCTACACATGTGCACATGTGCATGCGCACACACACACACACACACACACACACACACACTGTTGTCCATGTCAACCAAATGTAACATCCGAGTAGAGTCTAGAAAAGAATAAGGCAGTCAATCACAGACCACAGACTGGAAATGACTCCAAAGGAAAAAGGAACTGTCTCAAGATTTCTGATTGGCTGGATTCGATCTAATGGGAATGCAGATAGCTGCAGCAGATTTACTCCATGATGACTGAAAAAGAAGTCATGTGATGTTTGCTTTGCAAACTTTAATGGGCATATGAATCACCCAGGGATCTTGTTAAGGTGCAGATTCCAATTCAGTGGCTCTGAGAAGAAGCCAGAAAGAAAGGCAAATAGGATTCTTGCAGGACATTAAAGAAATGCAGATCTTACTAACCATATTGCAGACACCATTAGGAAACCTATCCATGAACTGCTGGGGACGCCTCACCTGCAGATCTCCCCAGATCGCTCATGAGCATTCCCAGGACCCTATGCACCTCACTCACACATGACCCTGTGGCCATCTCCATGTGTGCTCTCAGCTATGGCAGGGAGACTGAGCTTTGGCAGATGGTTAGTGAGCA